TTGCAGGTGCCAGTCTCTCTCGGACTGAGAAGGGTACATCATCTAGAGGATCATATCGTGCAGGATAGACAATGTCGTCCCTTGCTGACCCCCCTAATGGCCGATCTCCTTCATCGAGCGGTCCCACTCCCCCTTCGAAATCTTCTTCTTCTTGATGCGGGTTTCTTTCTTCAACGGCGTTGTGATGTTGATCATCGAGTTCGGGCGGCTTCTGGTTTCCCAGAGCTTCAAGATCCTGTGACAATGGGAACTGGAACTTCCCTTCCAGGAGTTCAAGCCTTTTGGCCCTGAAAGTCCTGAAGGCGTCATTCTCGATGGCCTCGTTGATTCCCTGCAAAGGAGCAACTAAGTACTCTTCCTTGAAGACGAAGCCAGGCTGGATATGATACCCGAGGAAAATTCCTTCAATACCCGTCCCCGCAAACTTTGACCTTTTGGGCTGCTTCTGCTTGGGGTCGGCCCAGTACAAAATCTTAGCCCCAAAGGGAACAAGGACCCCTTGGAAGTCGCTCCCGAACCTTTGATTCCATGGCACTAAACCGTTGTCAAGACGTTTACTAACGTTCAAAGAAATAGCGTGATGTTGGGATGCAAGTGGCCAGAACTGATCAGGTAAACCAGATTGTACCAAATTGGCACGCGTACCTTCCAAGATCGTTCGTATTTCACGCTCGATCACTGCTTTGTTCTGATCCACATACTCCCTGGATGTATTGTGCCTAGCTTGGAGTTGCTTAACCGCGTAGTCGAACTCATGAGCGTTGTCAGAGTAAACAACCTTAACATTATCATCGACCTCGAAAAAGTGCAGTAAATCTTCGTAACACTGCTCACCACTTTTGTTGTCGGCCGGGTAAACATAACGGAACTTCGTAAAGACATCCTTCACAACATGTGCTACAGTTTGTCCTTCGAATCCGTAGTCCTTGGCGTCCTTCGTGATGATGTGGTCGATGGTGATGTGGTCACCGAACCCCTTGCTGTGCACAGTGCTAGAACCTCCCTTTCTTCTGGCATGCGGAGCATACATTTTGGCTCGTTGACATACCGGACAGAAAGGGTTCTTTGGACGATGACTCAAAAGATGCTGCACGGATTCCGCTTCAGCTCTTAGAGACGCCTCGTCCTTCTTCGACTTTGGAATGTGGACCTCAACGTCGCTATCGGGCACATCTTCACCGCCATCGGGCATGGTAAAGACAGTGATGGTCATGTCGGTACCCTCAGGTACCTTCCCGTAGACGGCGTCGAGCTCGTCCATGTTGACCTTGTTCTCCAGCTGCTTCCACTCGCCATCTTTGTATCCCCAGGTGGAACGAATTCGATACTTGGGGTAGCGAGGTGCAGGTGTTCTGAAGGTCTTTGGGTTATGGGCAACCTTGACGTGGGGATCACCATTCACAGTAACCCATCCAGCCTTCAACAGTTGCTCTTTCTTCATGCCTTCAAGAGGGGGATCCTTGGTTAGGATCTCTGCCAGCCATGGTGGATGATCTCCCTCGTCCGCCGCAGGTACCGGGACTACACCGTCTGGAGCTCCTGGAAGTGGTCCGGCTGCTGCGGCATGCCCTTTCGGGCAGCTTATGCGTGAAAATCCTGCTGCAAGGAGCAGGTGGGCGCCATTCGTTCACCTTCATCGCGATGCGCTACAGCAGCTGGGTGTCCGGAATCATTCCCAATACTGCTGAACACTGGAACATTCCCCCGTAGCGTGCAAGTGAGCTTCTGGCCATCGGGCTTCACGAAGTACGGAACTTGCCCTGGAGGCCAGTAAAAACCGTACCCTTGCTGCATGCACTTCTTTCCCACAGAGCAAACCGGTGGGGTATCCGGGAGTTCCACGAATTCCAGGCTGCCATTCATTGACGGAACCTCGACTTCTGTCCTGGACGATGCCTCCACGATGCCATTGGCCGTGTGAAGGTTGACTGGCGTTGCGTCGACTTTTCTACCGACCCCTTCGAAACACTTTCTCAAGTCCGAAGAGCTGATAAGGTCCTCTTCACTTCCCGTATCGGCAATGATGTCCAAGCTCTGAAGTTCCTTGCGCGCTGGAGCGGCAGTTCCTGACATTATGTTTCCTGCTGCACAATGCCGACAAGCGAAATCAGGCTTGCAGCAGCGATGCTTGCATTTTGTCTTTTCACCATGGAGTTCCGAGTACACCGAGGCCTCAAGATTTTGTGCGTTGATGACTGCACACTGAAGATCACCAGGGTCGGACATAGGGCAATCAGCATTGGTTTTGAACCTTGCCACACATTTGCGCTTATGGGGAACAAATTTCCAACCATCTCCTACGCTTTCAACTGGGTGTATCTCAGGGTGCCTTTCAAAACACACACTCATGTCTTTAGGCTTCAGCTTGAAACTCGTAACGCCCGTCCAATTGGGCAGAGGTGCTTGCTTGTCGCACGTTTTCCAATTGTACTGTAACGTTCGCTCTTCGCCGGTTTTCAGCTTCATGGTGATGCTCGCAACAGACTTGATTCTCCATGCTGGAACGGGGCAGCTTTGGGGAATAAAATAGTTGTTTCTCAGAACAACATGTTCCCTAGACAGCGTGAGTGACTTCTCATCAAGACGCCATGTGTCTGCATGCCTACCATCCGGCTCACCCTTTCGGGCGGCTAAGGCGTACACGCAACAGGCAGCTGCTTTAGCTTCTGTCCTCTTCTTCCGGCTCGGCCTTCGCTTAGCCGGGGAGGGTGCACATGCCTTAGCCTTGGCCGGGACAGAGGGCGATGCGGACTTGTCCTTGTGCAAGAACTTGCATTTGTCCCCATTCCTGCAAGTACCCTTGGCATAAAATACGCATGGGATGTTGGAGGTATCTTTGCTGTTGCTCTTCTCTCTCTCGCGAGAACCTGACTTAGGCCGGTTGGGAGATCTCTCCCTTGAGGATGCTTTGGGGTCTTTCGTGTGTTCATACTTGCAACGCTCCCCAAACTTACACTTACCCTTCTGAAACAACATGCAAACCTGCCTACCCTGACGTCCTCTGGATGGCTGTCGTCGCTCCGAGGGAGCGGGCGCCGACGGCTTCGCAGGGGTAGGAGGGGCAGGTGCACCATACTTTGCGCCATGGGCCTTAGCAATCTTGTCCCTGTTCTTCCTAATTCGTTCTCGTGTGAGGAGATTCTTGATGCTTTCCATGAGAAACTTGTAGGTGTGCTCAGGGGTCCCCTCACGAGCCCGATCGTAAATGTCGAGATCATACTTCAAACGATGGGACTTGCGAAGCTCACGAAGGAATATGTCTCGCAAAGTGGTTTCGTCTGGAGGATGCGACAGTCCAGCAATCACTGAATCCCAGTTATGCACGAAGGTAGCGAGGTCATCATTGATCAGTGCCACTTTCAAGAGATCTTCGACCGAGTAAAGGGAGCCAACTTCTTCGTTGGTTTTAAAGTAGGCTTCAAACATTAACAGCACTTGCCTACCTCTCACTGCTCTACCACAGGTGGCCTCCGTCTCCTTGTAGTTGAGTATTTGTCTCGCAAGCTCGCCCTTCGCCACCCTAGACAATGCTGCAAGGATTTTGGTGTCTAGCGTGAGGAATTTCCCTACATCGTTGAGGCTATCTAGTGAAGCACCCTTTGCGTACACCTGCTGAATCCACGCAAATGCTTCATCAGGGTGATCAGATGCTGCTCGAACAGCCTCACGCACTGCCGTCTTCCACGATCTGTACGTCTCCGCTGAGGGAAAATCCGGAAGTTTCACTGTCTCGGCTTCCTTAGTCTTAGGTTTCGTCTCATCCTTGGTAGCAAAGTCCTTGAGCGCTTTTGCAATCGCTTCATGCACTTCATTAGGGGCCTGCGAAACAGGAGTAGATGCCCCCAGATTAAACCTCTGGGGCCGTCTCTCAAAGAGACCCTTCATGCTCTCTGGAATCTGCAACGGATTTGGCAAATCAGCATGCGTGACATGTGCATTACCGCATGCGGCACCCCCTTGCGGGGGGCTTGCTTCGGCAGTGTTCAAACCCGGTGGAGGTGCTGAGGCCATGGGAACAGCCTGCTGGTGCTCGGCACCACCTTTCGGCAGGCTAGATGACGCTGTAGCGGTTGCCTTAGCCTCATCAAGTTCAACCATCAAACGCTGGTTCGACTCAGCCAACTCCTGAATCAAGACATCACATGCACTCTCTTCTTCATGCATGGCATATGTGAACATGTTCTCTTCATACTGCATTTGCTCTCTAAATTCATTGCCTAAGAATTCCAGCTGGGTTTCCCTGTTTTGATCGTACACAACCCTGAGGTTAGCAAGGGAAAATTCACTCTGTTCGAGATGGGTCCTGAGGCGAGTTTCCGATTCGAGAACCATGTTACCTCGTGCCTCAAGCTCGAGATTGTGCATCCTGAGTGTGTGTGCGTCCTGTGCGGCTTGGTCAAGTTCCGCCGTTCGACCTCTTAGTGCTGCCTTGGTCTCCAGTAGTTGCTGTTGTAGCTCACGAACCACAAAGTCCATGCGGTCACTGATGACTTCAATCCGTGCTCGATGTTGGGCATCAGCGTGTTGCTCGAGTTCTCCCATTTCTGCACGGGCCTGTCTTGTAGCCATGTCCAGGATTTCCGCATGTCTGCGTTCGGCTTCGATACGAACTCGCTCTGCATCCTCGTTTTGTTGCACGATGATCAGCTGCTGCTGTACCCGGTACTGGTTGAACTGTTGGTAGTTGGTTGTTGCAGTCTGATCATGTTGCGCATTGGGATCAATGGTCCCATCTTGCAGCTGCAGAGCCATCGTGTGAGACTCTACGGCTGATAACCTGAAGTTTTCAGGTCAGCACATGAGGGAACATATAAACCGTTAAGTACGCCTCTTTTATCGGCAACTTGAGCTTGAGCCAAGGGTAAAGCGATGGTATGCACAGCTCGCAAAAGGAGTGTAATTCCTCCATGAAAACTACACGCTTCGTGGGCTAGTACCCTAAACCCTGAACCCTAAACCCTAAACCCTAAACCCTAAACCCTAAGCCCTAAACCCCAAACCTGGTCCGGGTGCAGCTCCAGGTTCTCCGGTAGCAAAGTCTTCATGTGCGATCCCTGGTTCACCGCGGCGCCGGGGACGTAGCCACCGGGACCACTCAGGTTCATCACCTGGACCCAAGAGGAAGCTGGGAATGAAAAAAGGGTGTACCCTTTTTTAGCTTCAAAGGGCTAAACCCTAAACCCTAAACCCTACACCCTAAACCCTAAACCTTAAACCCTAAACCCTAAACACTACTCTGGGTCCTCGTCACCTTGACGCTGTACCTGCCCGCATCGAAGGACATGATCTCGCCGATCTTGCCCTCCAGCTCAGGCGCGTCGGCAACTCCACGGATGATGACCTTCCTTGGAAGGACCCACTTCTAGAAGCCACAAGGGCCTCCATGGCTCATAATTCTCCGAATCAGGAATTGTAGTACACATAGGGTGTCATATACCCCCAATGTTAGGCTTCCTTTTCCTCACCCAAGGCTCTTGGTGACCTCGATGGGCGCTGCGCCCGGCCGGCGGTGCGCGAAGGCTGCGCCGCTGGGCGCTGCACTCGGCGCCTCCGCCTCCTTCCAGGCCTCTGCTCCCTGGCGCTCGACGTCTGCTTCGATGTCATCGAAGTCGAACATGGCCCGCCGGCGAAGTCGTTGGGTTTCGATGGCAGGCTACAGGGCCTTTGCGGTTTGCTTTTTTGGTTCTGGTCCTTTTTAAATATGTTTCTTTCCGGGCTTGGGGCCTGTATCAGCTGACAATGAACGGGGGTTTAGCTACAAGAGTCGAGCATGGTATCTCAAGTTTGTCTCTCTCTCTCTCTCTCTCTCTCCCTCTCTCTCTTTATATGTGTATATATATATATACATATTTTCACGTATAGATCTGTATGGATATATTTATTTACTTGATTATTCACTTCCAAAAGGCCTGCGTTTCTATGTGCACAAGCTCGAGAGCCAAATGCCGAGGTCTGCCGTCACCCTGAAGTCCGCGCTCCTGTTGAGGATGGGAGCCTAAACCCTAAACCCTAAACCCTAAACCCTAAACCCCAAACCCTAAACCCTAAACCTCCTTCAAAACGCTGCTCTGTGCTCCTGTTTTGGGCACCGCAGCCGACGTGAAGTAAAAACCAACAAGGGGTTCCTGGAATCAGAGGTTTAGGGTTTAGGGTGGAGGGTTAGGCTGTAGGGTTGAGGATTAGGGTTTAGGGTTCAGGGACGAGGGGTTTAGGGTTCAGGGTTTTATGATTCTGGTAGTATCAGGGCATGGTGGACATGTGGAACCCGGCACCAAGATCAAGATGACGACGTGCTCAGCAACGCCCGCTGGAGAGACTAAAGCTTTAAATGGCTGCTGGAGTTTCCTGAGCCTTCATACATGGGGGTTTCCTAAATGAGGGCTACCTTATTGGGGTCCTTAGTATAAGGGAATCCTACTAAAAGGGGGTCTATTTTGGGGTCCCCCCATCTTCGTAATCAAGTGTTTTTGGCAACTGCCACCGGCGGCCTCATTTGTCGGAGAAAGTGAACAGCTTCACGTCCATCACGAGATCTGGTTGGTAGACCTGGCCAAAGGAAGGCGGGTTCTTTGTAGGGGATGGGGGAATGGGGTACCCTATGTAATCCCTTGAGGGGTATAATTTAGGGGCCCGAATTGTCTGGTTCTCAAAGGAGGAGAGGATCTCTGTTTCTTGAACCCTAAACCCCCAAAGTGAGAGCCTGACCCTGTATGAAATGCCAAGCCCTGATGTCTGCACAGCATGCTATCCCCTGAGCCCTAAAACATAAGCCCTGCAAAACTTATCCTCAGTCGTTGGAGGATGCCCACAACACAACGGAAGCAAACCTTTAACACCATGTGAGTTTGCACCTAAAAGTAACCTAGGAATGAAGAGGGTGCCCTTTTTGGTTTTCCAGGGGCTTCTAAGGCAACCTACTAAACCCTAAAGAAGCGGGCATAAGGGCCCTACTCTGGGGCGACTTCTGGGTCCCAGAAGTACCTAAACACCCCTAAATACACCTTTGTGAGCCCTAATCCCCTGATGAGAACCCTAAGAAGCCGTGCTGATTCAATGTCGGCGCCAGCCGCACCCGATTTGGGTTCAGGTAGATGTTCCGAAAACCTCGGAATACAGCGCGTTGGGGGGAGCAAAAGCTTCTCGCAGCAGGCGAGCGAGATTTGTGGGGACCAAGTGGACCCTTTGAAAGGGTTTGATTTCGGGGCCTGAATAATTAGAAGAGGGTTTTGGGGGGTACTATAGTGTATTGATAAAGGGGCCAGAAGGGAATACTCCCAGTATTTTTTCCTATTATGGTCCATGTTGCCTTTGTCGAAATTACAGTAGTGCTAGGGCGCATGACAGCAATTGTAGGGTTCATGTGGTCCCGCCGTCCCCGCTATTTTTCCTTTAGCCCAAAGGATCCCAATATCGTCCTACTGGCCGACGGGGCAATCCGACACCCGAAGCCCTAAACCCCCAAAAAGTGGGAACAGGGCCCACCGAATCCACCGACAGTCGCAGCACATACTGTAAGGGTCGGAACAGTTACTAATAACATTCCCTTATGGTCCCGAAAGAACTATACTATAACAACCCCCCCCCCCCCCCCCCCAAACTCCTGTTCTAATTATCAGGGCTCCTACAGTACAAGCCCAAACGACTGCAGCAGGGCTACGCTGGAACTCGGCGAAGTTGGGTGGGATTGGTTGCCTGGCAAAGGGCTCGTGAGCAGGACTCTGCGGAGGGACTTTCCAGCGATGTGTCGGGGGCTGACCTAATCTACAGGTTAAGGTTAAGGGCGCTTGGGCTTAAGGACGACGGGTTGGGTTGGGGCTTGGGGCTGAATGGTCGCTCTTGTAATAGGAAGTTCAGGGCGTTGAAGGGACAAACACTCAGGGGCTACTCTCTGAAAGCGTTGCGTCTTCAAGGCTGCTTCCAGAACGAAAGGCTTGCGCCGGGAATTGGCAACTGCCAGAGTGTTATTATTATTATTATTCTTCTGATTATTCTTATTATTCTTAATATTCTTATTATTCTTATTATTCTTATTATTCTTATTATTCTTAATATTCTTATTATTCTTATTATTCTTATTATTCTTATTATTCTTATTATTCTTATTATGATTATTATTAGTAGTATTATAATAAATAATATTTCTATTATAATGTAAATGGCTATGTCCTACGGTGTGGCCTCCAGGGGTTAAGTAAGTTGATGCGGCCGGCGCTGTGCACTGGCCGCACGTCCACGCGACATGCGTGGTGTAGGGTTTGGGGTTTAAGGTTTAGGGTTTAGGGTTTAGGGTTCAGGGGGTTTAGGGTTTAGGGTACTGCCATGTTAGGTTCCTTAAGAGAACCCGGCACCCTTTGACTAATGATGACCTTCCTTCTAAAAACCTACTCACGAAGTTCGCCGAAAACCAAACCTTTGAGAAAAGCCCTGACTTTCTTTTGCACACAACCTTAAACCCTAAACTACACACAAGGAACCGACAAGGTCGCAACTGGGCCAGAAGGACTTTGACTCGTCCGTAAACCTTGGAAGGTGCAGGGCGGTTTGGGAATACCGTTCTCCATCTTGTCCGGGGTCAGGGTTTAGGATTTCGGGTTTAGGGTTCAGGGCTTAGGTCATCATCTGGGGATTTGTTGGCGGCGCTTCAAAAATTTGTTGCGAGGCCCCCAGCCAGAACTACGCTGGGATTTCCATCTGAGGCTGAGGAGTCAGCACAGGGTCAGCCTGCCCCTGGGAGACCAGGGATGTTCTCTGCAAGCCAAAAAAAACAGTCGGTCCGAGACATCTCCATAGGTACAGGTACAGCTTAGCCCGTCAGACTGCCACTTGATGCTCATCCCCTCCTTCTAAGGGTTGTAGGTAGTGTGTAGGGTTTAGGGTTTCCCCACATGTGAATTATTGCGGTCTTCGAGTTGTTTGGGAAGATGGAGTGCTTGAGAGTATGAGGTTGGGATGTTCCTCCTGAAACGAACAGTCCTTGATGGAGAGTGAAGTGCCCCCCATTTTAAGCCCTACTAAGGACTGTTCGTATCAGGGGGAACATCCCAACCCTAAACCCATGCAGCCCAACAAAAGTCCTGAACTTTCAGAAGCCACTGGTTGCTCCCAGTGTTGCAAGGTTTCAACCCTAAAAACCTTATGAACCCTAAAATCCCTATAATTCGAAGTTAACCCATAACGCCCATATACCCTGTAAGCCCGAAAGACCCTATAAACCCACCCACCCCCGCAAAATTAAAAAAAAAAACAAAAAAAGACTCAAAACCCCAAGCCCTACTTGGAACTTGGAACCTTTTCGAGTTCGTAAGCAGGGTTGGTGGGTTCTGGGGATAAGAATGGAGTTTCCAGGGGATACTAAGTAGACTTTCTAAGTCACAAGAGCTGCCAGGTGACCCTAAACCCTAAACCCTAAACCCTAAACCCTAAACCCTAAACCCTAAACCCTAAACCCTAAACCCTAAACCCTAAACCCTAAACCCTAAACCCTAAACCCTAAACGTCTGTTCAGTCCCAGTGTCCCAAGGCTTTGGGGGATGATGATCCGGCGGATGCCGCCTCGAGATCTTCTTTACGCCAAGGCAACAGGAGGTGCCGCTGCTTTTAGGGTTTAGGGTTTAGGGTTTAGGGTTTAGGGTTTAGGGTTTAGGGGTTAGGGGTTAGGGGTTTAGGGTTTAGGGGTTTAGGGTTTAGGGGTTTAGGGTTTAGGGTTTAGGGCTTAGGGTTTAGGTGTGGGGTTTAGACCGTTTAGTGCAAGCCACTGGCTAGGGTAGCTAACTTCCCGGGACTCATAAGGGTTTAGGGTTTAGGGCTTTACTTGAGATTTTGGGTTTTGGGTTGGGGTTTGGGGCTTAATTTAGGCTTGGGGTTCGATCGAACTTGAAGTGGGGAGGCTTTGTAAGAGGGTTGAATGAAGGTTTGGGGTTTCGAGCTTTCCTTCCCAGGCAAGGGTAAACAAGGCTACTCGGGACTGTGACCCTTTGGTGCAGAAATCTGGTTTACAAAGGGATCCCAAACCCTAAACCCTAAACCCTAAACCCTAAAACCCTAAACCCTAAACACTGGAAGATTGGAAGATTGGACATTTCCCCGGCCACCCCCACACCCCCTGGCCCGGAATATCCTGGCAACTGTGCTGTACTCTGAGTCTACCCAGGCCCTTCTATATAACATATATACATATATACACATATATATATATACATAGATACACATATATATATATACACACATATATGTATATATATATATATATGTGTATGTATATATGTGTACTTATGACGGCTGATGGTTGCAGGATAGGGGGGGGCTTATCCAAGGAAGCTTTCAAAGCCCCCGAAGCAAAGCCCTGGCCTGGCTGCATCGTGGACACCGCTTCCGACAGCCCACTGCCAGCGTGAGCGGTTTAGGGTTTAGGGTTTAGGGCTTAGGGCTTAGGGTCTGGGGTTTAGGGTATGCTTCAGAGTTTCGTGTTTGCGCCTTTGGGTTCAAACTTCGGGTCTTCGTTTGCTTAGGGCATCCAATCAAGGGGCCATCATCAAGACGACTTCCCCTAAGCCGCCCCTTGTAAGCCCTAAACCCCAAACTCTAAGACCCGAAACCCCAAACTCTAAAACCGAAAACCCTTTTAAACCTGGGGGGCATTCGTGGCTTCCGGATTCATAGCATTAGAACCCTAAACCCTAAACCCTAAACCCGTAAACCCCTTTAGCAGTGGGATTGAGAAGCACAGGGTTTGGGGCCGAAGGTATTCCAAGAGAAGCAACTGGGCTGCCTTTTAAGGTACGCAAGGTCAAGGGTCGAGCTTGCAGTTGGGTTTGGGGTTTGGGGTTTGGGGTTTGGGGTTTGGGGTTTGGGGTTTAGGGTTTAGGGTTTAGGGTTTAGGGCTTAGGGTTTAGGGTTTAGGGTTAGGTCTTCGGTGGATTCGCTGATAGGTGCTGACGCCTGGTGCCAGCAGCCAAAGAGTGTGTCGAAAAGTGTGCTTAAGGGCTCCGAGAACTTCATGGGTAGGAGATGAGTAGGGTAAGATGAGGACCCTCAGCGAAAATAGGGGCACCCCATCGTAAATCCCCAGATCATAGGATCCCCTTCGAATAAGGACCCCCAAAACGTACCCCTCATTTCGGAAACCCCCATACCCTCAACCCTCAACCTTTAAGGGAGGTCTTAAAAGGGTAGTACTCCCTCTTGGACATACAACTTACTTGGGTATTTCCCCCCAATGAAGGTACCCTTGACATACCCCAACATCGTAGAATAATGATTCTAGGAACCACCCCCCCCCCCCCCTTCAAAAAAAATGTACCCCTATTTACCCATAAAAAAACCCTATGTTTTTGTTGCTTGCTTTCAGAGAAATGGCGTTTGGGTGCAGGTGCTGCTATTGGCGGCTTGAGGCGTTGGCTTTCAGACCTGAGAGCCCCAACATCCAAACCCCTGAAACCCGAACCCTGAACCCTGAACCCTGAACCCTGAACCCTGAACCCTAAACCCTAAACCCTAAACCCTAAACCCCAATCAGCAAACCTTGAAACCCCCAAGCCTTTTCAGCCTAAACCGCAAACCGCATTCGTCCAGATCCGGAACTCTCAGCCTGCGGGGTGATCGTCCTGTTTAGGGTTTCCTTTTATCGTGGGGTTTAGGGTGTAGGGTTTAGGGTTTAGGGTTCAGGGTTTAGGGTTTAGGGTTTAGGGTCACTGAAGACTTAAGAGCCCCTTCAAAGGCAACCCTATGCGCCCAGGCAGTTCATTTTGGAACCCAAGAAGGAGAATTATAAGGTACCCCCTATATGTAGGTATATACATACATGTATATATATATATATAGGGTTTAGGGTTTAGGGTTTAGGGTTTAGGGTGTAGGCTTTAGGGTTTAGGGTCACTGAAGACTTAAGAGCCCCTTCAAAGGCAACCCTATGCGCCCAGGTTGTTCATTTTGGAACCCAAGAAGGAGAACTATAAGGTACCCCCTATATGTAGGTATATACATACATGTATATATATATATATGTAGGGTTTAGGGTTTAGGGTTTAGGGTTTAGGGTTTAGGGTTTAGGGTTTAGGGTTTAGGGTTTAGGGTTTAGGGTTTAGACCTGAAACCCAAAACCCTTGAACCCCATCAGGGGGGTCTCTCTAAGTTTGTTGGCCCTTTTTTGGGGTACCCTCTCATAGGCTTCGCACGCATAGTCGGGCTCAAAAGCCTCAACCCTAAACCCTAAACCCTAAACCCTAAACCCTAAACCCTAAGCCTCGCCTGATGATCGTCGGGTCCCCGACCACGAAGCTGTACGGCTTCTCTCGGTCCTGCGTTTGGGGCGGGCTCTTGTTAGCATCTAAGCCCTAAACCCTAAACCCTAAACCCTAAACCCTAAACCCTGAACCCTGAATCCTACAGGGCATTTTTCGGCTGCCGGAAAAATGGCTAACTAATAACCCCAACAGCCCGCTTTAGGGACCTGCTTCTTTCAAGGTCCTTCAAAGTCTGAGTTCAATTTGGTTTAGGACTTCCCTGTCGGCCCCTGCACGCTAGAAACCCTCAAACTCTGGAAACCCTACAAACCCAATAGACCCTTTTCAACTCTGTAAGCCCTACAAAGCCTACATAAAACCTATAAATCCTAGACACCCTATAAGCCCACAAGACCCCAAACCGCTTCTAGGTCTGTGGAGAAGAGCACGGATCTTGCCCGGCACTTTCGGTCAGTGAGCGCTAAGCTTACCGACCCCCCAAAGAAACTCCCTAAACCCTGAGCCCTAAACTCTACACCCTAAAACCCCCCCTTTACGTCAGGCCTGTTTAACACACTTGCGGTAAAAGCAGGCTCGAATTGGGGGAGGGTATTCAGCTTCCGAAGTTCGTTGAACGCAAAACCAAACCCCAAAGCCAGCAAGCCCTAAACCCAATAAAAACAACCCAAAACCCCCGAAGCCCTAAGGCCCTAAGCCCTAAACCTAAGCTCCCTGGTTCTGAGTAGGAAACAGGGAAGTAGGGCCCGAGATATACCCTTTCACAGTTGAACAGGTCAGAACCTGGCCTAAGCCTGAAAGGGGAAGGACCAGACACAACCAAAAGAAGGGTTTAGGGACCCTCAAAGCCCTCAACCCTGCGCGCAAGCCGCACCTCATGCGGCCTTTTTGCTTGAGCCAAAAGTCAGAAGGTAAGCCATCCTGATCTGCATAACATGACTATACATACATCACTTTACAGGAAGGAAGCTCGTGATTCTTCAACTCCCCCCTTCATGTTTGCAGATTCTCAAGTCCTAGAGCTCATTTGAAGCTCGATTCTGGACTTCAGGAAGCAACAGCTACGAGCTCAACTCTGCAGCCAAACCTACTGTCGATTGAAGTACAGGCTGAGCCATGTACAAATTGAATCCGGTATCTCAGGTGATCGGGCTGAAACGTAGACTCAATAAACCTTTAAGGTAATTCTACCTGCGATCTATACAAAACTACTCTCAACCGGTGCAGGACTGTGCTCAGGCGGAGTCAGAGTGGCGCTTGGGAGCAGCCGTACACTGACACAACGCAGTGCAAGGCTGAGGGCAGGCAAGAAGTGCAGGATGAGATCCTCAAGAACTCATTCAGATGACACAGGGATGATGGCTCATATCCAAGTGTCTGCAAAAGCACGATGATGGAGGTAGCGCAGGAGCAGCTTGACAACCATCACAAACATATCACCCAAGGAATTTTCAAAAGACTTCAGGTGACAGGGAAGTGCATGCTTAGATGGGAACATCTGGCAGATGCTCAGTGGAGATGTGGAGCAACTTCAGTGCATGAGCCCACTTCTGGACCGAAAGAGCCTTCGTCAAAGGATCACCTTTCTGGTCATTAGTGTTGACATAGCCCAGTTCAACATCATCGTTGTCGTTCACAGCTTCGCACGTAGATGAAACGTTGATGCGATGAGTTTTGGACAAATGCCTCAGCTTAGCTGAATATCCTTTACGGACAATGGCAATGCAAGCTTCATTATCTTCACGACACAAGAGCTTAATGCCAGGGATTATGGTTTGCCAAACTTCAAGTAATGGCAAGGCATCATTGAACAGCGCACTGCTCAAGGACACGAATTCTGCTTCGGTAGAGCTCCTTGAGACCACTTTCTGTCTCTTGCTGGACCATGACAGAAGAGCAAATGAGTTGCTTCCTTCAAGGGCAACGATATACCCACTTGTGGAACGCGCGGTGTCAGGACAGCCGCCGAAATCTGAATCCACATACAGGGCAAGGTGCAAAGATGAAGCTGGGTCGTGGACAAACATCACAGGGTTGTATTGAACCGTCGCAGCAATGTAACCCACCAACCTGGCAACCCTTTTATCATCGTTCACTGACCAACGACAGACATTGGTCGTGAGGGTAGTGACGGCCACCATAAGATCTGGGCGATTCAAACGTGCAAGCCACAGAATCTTCATCAGGATGCGAGCGGCGCTGTCAGCAAGAGAGCCCCGAGCATCATTATCACTTAGTGATAGAGCTCCTGGGTCAACATGCGGGGTCCTCTGGTGCTTAACAGCGGAACCAACCAAGGATTCATACAAGTCAACACACTGTTTGGCGAAGTCTTCAGTTTCCAACGCAAGGGCTGGTTGATTGTCATACAAGACGTGGCGATGACTGCGACCAAGCACTCTGGTGAGAGGAGCATAAGGCTCGAGGTCAACTTGTTTCGACAAGGAACTCCAGAAACCTTTATGCTTCGACAACTTCCCGCTCAATGTGAGGTCGTCAACATATACGCACAAGATCAGATCCAATGTGGGAAAATAATACACAGAAGGAAGGTTGGGGAATTCAATTCCACCAAGACCAGTGAGAATGCCACGCAAATGCCTTTGCCAATGCGCTGATGACTCAGGGTGTCCATACAAGGCCTTGTAGAGCGGTGCACAGGGCTGAATTACGTCTCTCTTGGAAGCTGGGACGAGTTCTGGTGGCAAGAGGACGAAAGTTCGGTTTTTGCTCTTCAAGGCTGCTTGTGTATACGCCTTAATGGCGTCGCTAGTTGTCACACCATGGGATTCGAGAAGACCGAATCCAATGACCGTGTTCAGTCCCTCAAGCGAAGAAGGGGCAGACGCGAAGAGTTCTTCGAATACAGCAGACATTCCAGTCTGGTCACGTATATCGTCTCCACGAAAGACGATACGCGCCTTAAGCTTCCAAGAATCAGGCTCTAGTTCGGCGCCTTTCACACTCATGATGACCATCAAGTTTCCGAAGTGGATCACATTGGAAGTCCTGCGAGCCCATGCAAGAACCTCACTCTTCGGCATGATCTCTTCTTCTATCCAGGTACCTGCCTTCAAAAGACCATCCTTTTCTTCTTGGACCTTTTCAAGTGCAGCAGGCTGGGAAGTCCATTCCCTTCTATCCAACAGCCGATGGACGTAACCAGGGATTCGGATGCGGCGCATACCAGACTCAAACATCAGGAGATCGAGCGGTAGTGGCGGCCGAACGTCCTTAACCCTGTGAAGTTGAGGAAAAGTGGGCACACATGGCAACGCTGGTGCAACAAATGCTTTCGCATAAGGAAACAAAGATGCCAAAATTGCTCTGGCCATGGCCTCAGGGGTAAAAGGCTGAGCGTCTTGAGTCAGAACCTTCAACGGTATCGTGCTTGAAGTGCTTAGGATGTGAACACTGATAAGCCGCAAAGTCATGTGCCAAACGCTTACTACTAGTCAATATCTTCCAAGGCTTCAGCGTTGGGCCACCTCTGGAAGACACAAGTCCGAAAGCGCATCCGTGGAACTCAACGGTGAGAAGATTGAACTGGTCAACAAAAGCAATGATCTCAGGCAAAGACCAACCAGCAGCGTCTCTTGGCCACTCGAAACTTACTTCACCCCCCTGAAGTATGACTAATGCAGCAACCCGGATGAATTGCAACAACAGCTTCCGGGATTTCTCCCTTTCGGCGGTAAGCTTTTCAAGGTATCCCGGCTTAGTGGCCAGGTTCATGCGGGACCACGCTGACCAAGGTCCACATTCAAGGGATCCATGGATGCAGCAACCAGGAGTTGCACTGACTTGGTGGATGAGCTGATCGATGGCCAAGGGATCCTCGAGATTGATGCTTTCACGGCACAACCGAACCACTTGAACACCCAGTTCTGGACCAAGGTGCCCAATCATGGAATCCGGAGCGCAGCAAAACTCATAAAGTACCAATGCACCAGGCTTCTGATGCCGACAGGCAGGCAAAGCTCCAACACCGGGGAGTGCTTCATCATCTTCGGGAATGGAAGGTTCGTATTCCGGCGTCCTGAGGAAGTCTAGCTCTGACTCAGAATCTCTTCCTGTAGACCTACCCAAAGCAGCAAGTTCCACTTCAACTGCTTCTTCATCGGCTGGGTCGATCTCAGGCGGAAGATCAGGCAAACCAAGATGCTCGAAAGACAAGAGCCTCTCGTGATCCTCAAAAGGTTGAGACGAAGTTTTGGCCTCGTCCCCGAACGCCTTTTCAAAACGAGCAACACATTCAGGATTGTGGTCGGAACGGTCTCTTTCACAGGCAGTACAGCCTGGAGTAGGGCCAAGCTTCAGAAATCTTGAATAGGTGATGTAGATCCTTCGGGCCTTTTTCTTGACGTTGGCTTGGTCGCCTGAGAAAGGCAGAGGAAGAGGATCTGGTATTGCGAAGTCTTCTCCTCCACAAAGTTGCAGCGTGTGTTCGGCTGCGTTTTTGAGGGGAAACACTGGATCGCCAGAGCGCACATACAGTTCTGCTTCAGGAACAGATATTACCTCTTCCCAAGAACCAAGTTTGAATCGAACTTTGGCTAAATCCAGCACGTATACAACCGACCTATACAAGAACCCAGGCTCCAATCTCCATCCGGCAAACAACCCTGGCTTGGCATTAGGACCAAACTTGCTATCTGCTCGTGCCCGATAGAAAACAAGTTGGCCTAAGATTAATTCCCGAGGCGGGACGTCTTCGGCATCGAAGTGCGCAACTGCAAAGTCCCATCGTGAGAGATCAGATTCGAGAGGAGCAGGATGCGAAAGGTTCATCGCCATTGACCCGTAGTGGCAAGCCACTGTCCAGAACTCAGGTCTGACAGCAAACCCTGCTTCAAGAAAAGATGACCTGACTCCTTCTTGGAAAGACCGAATTTCACGCTCAAGTTGAGAATTGTGAGGAAACCGGTTCGGCAGTGAAGGCATGTGTAACCAGCCCAAGGTTTCTGCAGCAAGCTTGAGTTCATCTGCTGCATCAGAAACCAGCGATACCGGTTTGCTGCACACTTTCCTCCCAACAAAACGCTTGAGGCATGTCAAGATGGAATCAGTTGAACGATCTGTGGCAGGGTAAGCAGCAAACAATCCTGTGAAGCGATCTCGAAGGCACAACACCACATACTCTCTTCCGGGAGCATTGGAGTCACTAGGTGACTTGAACACATGGATGTGATCAGCTGCAATAACCTCTCCAAACTCCGAAGCTTCAAGCAACGCGGGCTCAGAATCCTCATCACGAGGCTTGCGGCGCACCCTTCGGGATAAGAGTTTGGATCGATTGCACACATCGCAGAACGGGTTCTTTGGGAAATGGAATAAGCGATGCTTCACGCTCACTCCCGGCGAACTCACATCTAAAGGCTTGTCCCCTTCAGGAAGCGCAGATGCAGCTGGACCATCATGGTTTGCCTCGACAAGATGTTCCTTGGGCAGCCCCCCTGACGAAGAGGAAGGCACTTCGGACGACTCAATCTCTGCTGGAATGACATCAACCAGCGGGTGATTGTCCAAAGGAAATCCAACTCCTATGAGAGCATCTAAGACATCAAGCTCAAGAGAAGCTGGATCTTTTGCTGCGTACAAGATCATCACCAGCCGATCACCAGTCCAAGGTTGCGTGGCATGTAGTCGATTTTTGGCAGAGAACTGGATAACCCCTTTCTTGAAACTCAAAATCTTGCCAATTTGCGAAACGCTTGGAAAAGGACATTTGTCTCTTCCTGCAGCATCTTCAATCCAAACACCACCACCGGTAAAGCCCCCCAACGAAATGACAACATTGTCAATCCCAGCATTATGGGAATCCTTGTGAGGATCTGCGGACACATTGTGCAGCAAATTGATGGCGGTGTAAACATGCCCAGGGGCTTTGCGCTGCGCAAATTGGTTCAATGCACGAGTCACGAAAGGGTACTCCTTCGTAGACTTCAAAAGACCGACCACACCACCTCGACGGAAGCAGCCAACTGCAAAGGACGAGTCATTGCTCGGCTCAATCCCTCGGGGTGCTGAACCACGCTTCACAAGTCCAAAGATCTTACGAACTTGATTGGGCTGAATATCACCACGCTTTGTTAGGAGGTCTTTGGCATACTCTTCAGCTGGATCATGGGCAACGGGACGCGAAGGCTCTCGGCTTTCCTCACCAGACCCTTCAAGAGAATCAGCTGATGCAGCCACGCCGTGGACAAACTGAACTTTGCTGGTGAAAATAGGCACATGCTCATCTATGCGCGTTGCATAAAACCTGGCCTCCTCAGCGCAATCAATCCGAAGCTTAGACACGTCATGCACAAAGAAAGGAAGGGAACCAGGTAACCATATGAAGGCCTTCCCGGATTCAACATCCAAACCGGTGCTCCGAACAACTGGACAGTTGTCCAACATGTAGTGGTTGGCGAGAGGCATATTGTCGGATGCAAATCCCAAACTCTGAGAGCCAGGCTGAGGTCCACCTCCTGTGTGGAACGTAACAGGGCTCGCTGAGTGCGCAAGAAACGACCTGTATGACTCCGACGGAATTCCCTGGTCTGCCAGCGCTCGCGCCGATCCAAGATGCCGACCAGCAGCTGTGTCAGCAGCCCATTCAACGCTGAAAGCGTTGCTCCCAGGAATGTTGCACATGCTTGAGGCAGCCATCATTGCCACGACTGCTTTTGCAACAGCTCCTGGGGACTTGGGCTTGGAAGCGGCGGCCTTAGGCTTAGACTTAGGGTCAACCTTAGGGGTCTTATCAGGGGCGTGGCTGTACTTGCAATTCTCTCCATGCATGCAACCAGACGACATTCTGAAGAAAATGCAAGGTGTCTTGGCTTTTTCTGCATCTGACATGCCTTTTGCCTTCGCTTTAGCTTTTGTCTTAGGTTTGGGGCTTGGCGCGGGATTTGCAGGTGCTGGAGCCTTCGGTGGAGGTCCAGTGGACACTGGGGCAGGAGTCTTGGCCTTTGGGGAACTCCGGGATGCCTCCTTAGTCCCTGCAGGAACTCCCTTTGTCTTTGCCTGCGGAGCGGCAATTTGCAAAGACTTCATCACTGAGTGAGAGTTTGCATCTTCTCGCTCTTGAACAAGGATATCTTGTATTTTGTTCCATAAGTAATCCCACTCACGACGACGGGATTCTGGCGCAGATTCTCTGATATCCTCGATGACGCGTTCCAACTTTCGAATATGCTTCGCCCGGTGGAAAAGCCATTCGCCAGTGAGGCGATCATCTGGCCTCTGTCCGACCGGTATGGCATACAGAACAGTCCTTACGCGTTGCACAAAGTCTCGGAGATCTCGCATGGAGTTTCCCCCGATTTCAACCTGGAACAACGTCGAAGCAGTCAGCACAGTACCTCGAACACGGTCGATGCTGAAATGACGAGCAAGAAGGGCAAGCATGTATCGACCTTTCGGCTGGGACCGTGCTTGGCCGCACAACTCAACATAGGCAATTACCTCTTGCTCCAACTCAGTCACTTGCTTCAACACACGCAAGGAAGTCATCTCTCCAGCAATCCAAGCGTCAAGGCGAGGGAGAAAACCAGACTCAGTAAGGTCTTCTTTTTCAGCTGTGAAAGACTGAGACAGCCATTCAACGACCAAACCTTCTCCTGACATATCAAGCTTGGCAATTTGGACCAACAACGCGTTTTTCCAGGCTCGGAAACCAGCAGCGTCGGAAGGAACCGGTTCAAGCTTGAGATGCAACAAAGCTCGGTAGTCAACAATGTGCTTCTCTTGCCTCTCAGGCTCTTCGATCTCATGAACAGGAGATGCATCATTGCATCCTTGATCCGTGCCATTTCTTTGGGCAAACAGTTGCTGGACGACATCAATCAACTGGTCAACACGAGGGTCGGAAACGGTTGCAGGAGGGCAAGGGGTTGACTCATTGACAACTTGCGGCAATGAAGGTGCACCATTATTGCCCCCATCCGAACCGATATGTACCCAACTAGAACCACCAGAACAGGCACTTGGTGCAATTGCAGATGGCACATCTTGCTGGCGAGGTGCAGGCTTTGGAGGTGAAGACCCAGGACTCGTGGCGCTTAAAGCAGCCTGACGAAGTCTCTGAATCTCACGGTCTTTGACTTGCAACTCAACACGTAGCTGGGTGTTTTGGAAGTTCAGCAAGTTGTTATCACCCCGGCAGCTGGTTAGGGCGGCTTCAAGCTCTTGGTACCCTGCACGAGCAACCTGAAGTTCAGCTTCGACTTTGCTTAGCTCAGCCTTAGCTACGGATAGCTGTTCTTCCAAGATTCGACCCTGTTGAAGGATCTCATCATAACGATGTTCGTATTGTTGCAACTGCTCACGCATTTGCTCAACGGTGGCTTCAACCAAACCTCTAGCCTCATTCTCTACCTGCTCTAGCCTTACAGCATGTAGCTGCTCAGCATGATCAGCCACTTGCTGCGCTGCTTGGGCTGCAGCCAAACGTTGGGCATCCAGGACTTCTTGTGGGGACGCTCCTACGTTCAGGATGTTCTGCGTGTATGAGGCTTGAGCAGTTAGATTGGGGTAAGGGTCTGAGTGCTCACGAGATCTGCGAGGACCTGACAAGGCTCGCCTTGTCAGAGGAGGGGACCTTTCACGGAGTTCAACTGCAGAACTACTCGTAACCGAACCACTATCTGAACCGATACCACCCGGCAATGCCATGGCTGAGGCACTTGACAAATCAAGCACCGAGCTAGCTTGGTTGCTAGGGTCTGAGGGGGAAGACATTGCCTTGGGAGGTGGAAGCGCTTAGCAGCAGCTCAACGCACCCTTTCACGCAAGTGGCAGTGGTTTGTTGGATCTGCAATCCCCTCAATGTCGCCAGAGGAGGCGCTCAGCGCCGGACAACTGGACGAACAGCCCCAGACCTTTAGACGTCCGGAAACCACTTCCGCACCTGACCTCTGATAGCGTCAGTACACTCCGGAAAGCTGTCAAAGGAAGGCATGGGAGCACGCGGAAAAATAATGCGCTGTCCACGACTCCCCTTGGATCTCTTCGGAATGGCAATATGCAGAGGAATCACGTGCTCAGAGCCCGCCAGCTCGTCACAGACATCCGCAGAGTCGTCGACGTGAATGATGGGGAGCTCAACCTCCTTTGCCAGTTTCTCCAGCACTACACGCTTCCCCAACGGACCAGTGGCCTTCCTCGTAATGAAAATGAGGCAAATAGGCGATTCCCCGATCTGCGTGAAAAGAGTATCACAGGAATTCACTGTCGTCTCAACCACGTGCCTCTTGGTGTCCTCGTGATGACAGTAACTGCAGACGAAGAATAAACCCCCGTAGCGCGGAATCAACGAATGAAGATCGCGCAAGGCTGCCACACACTCTGAAGGAAACTCGGGCCTAGGATCCGTCCAGCTCGTTGACTTTTTGTGATATCGATCCAACACTCCGTGAAAATCCAAGCTCAAACTAAAAGAGAATCTCTCGAAAGCTGGTTCCGTAAGCTTCACCTTAACACCCTCAAAGTCCAGCACCTCTGTCTTCAGGGGATGGAAGTCAATCACACGAGGAATCCCTGTCACCTGAGGTAGCGGAGGATGCGAAGGTTCCGGCACACGAGGCGGTACCTTAACTGGTGGAGGATGCAAAGGTTCCGGCACACAAGGCGACACCTGAGCTGGTGGAGGATGCGAAGGTTCCTTAGGCGTCCGAGGCGGAGCCTTCGGTGGAGTCTTTGGTGCCGGAATGCCTGATGACAATGAAGCTGATGGAGTTAACAAAGGCTTTGGAGTCGGCAAAGGCCTCTGAGTTGAAGAGCTTGATGACGAAGAAGCGGGTGGAGGTGATGGAGCCGTGGTCTTCGCCTTCAGAACAGCAGTTGAAGGATGAAGTCGATGAAACGGACGAAATGGCGTAGAAGGCGGCGGAGTCTCCGGGGCCTGATCGTCAATAACGATCACTTCTGACTGCTCTTCCACAGCCTGAAAAGGAGCCGTCTTCGGACGGCGCACTACGGATCTGGTAGAGCCGTCAGGGCGACGGAAGGGAACTTCGGATGGATCTGCGAAGATGCCCAAGTCCTGATCGCGCAGAAAGATATATAGTTGATATGCTTTCCGCTTCCTCTGGGCTGCAGCGCCCCCTCGAGTGCGTCTCACGCCGAGAGACCTTGGAATACGCTCTTCCTCACGAGGAGGGTTATAGTCCATGGGTCCTCAATCCTAGACCCTGGAATCTTCAGAACAAACAGAGCGATACGGAGCTGATAACCAGTTGAACAGGTCAGAACCTGGCCTAAGCCTGAAAGGGGAAGGACCAGACACAACCAAAAGAAGGGTTTAGGGACCCTCAAAGCCCTCAACCCTGCGCGCAAGCCGCACCTCATGCGGCCTTTTTGCTTGAGCCAAAAGTCAGAAGGTAAGCCATCCTGATCTGCATAACATGACTATACATACATCACTTTACAGGAAGGAAGCTCGTGATTCTTCAACTTTCACTAAGGGCTTATATAGGGTGCCTCATTCAGTCATTCCCCATTCCCTAAACCCTAAACCCTAAACCCTAAACCAGCTGGTACGTGCCACAGTCCCGGCCCCCGCAACCTTCGTCGAATCGATCTTGGTGCCATATCGCGCCCCGGTCGTCATCATGACGTAGTCAATGGTGACCTACTTTAGGGTTTAGGGTTGCGGGCTTAAAGTTAAGGACGACTAGGAAGTGCTGACTTTTGGCGTCCACTTCCCATCAGCCTTTGAAACGCCACTAAGCACACGGGGGCTTCGGAATTGATATGTTTCTAAAGAGGGGGCTGAGGGTTGATAGGGTTTAGAGCTTAGGGTTTAAGGTTTAGGGGAGGTTTAGGGTTGTGAAAGCTTCCCGTCCCATTCCAACTTGGGATCCTCCTGGGTTTGGTGTTTAGGGCAATGATTCGGGCTATGCCCTGAACCCTAAACCCTAAACCCTAAACCCTAAACCCTAAACCCTAAACCCTAAAGCAAGGATCCCTAAGTGTCAAGCTTAAACCAGGTGAATGATGACATGTCGCCTCGCCGACAGCATATTGGGATGTTCCCCCCTTATACGAACAGTCCTTAATTTTGATGATAGTACCCTCTCCCCCTACTTTAGTCCCTGTTAAGGACTGTTAGTATAATGGGAACATCCCAAACAGCATGTCATAAAAAAAAAAACAGCATGTCACAACCCGCCCCCCCCCCCCCCACACTGTTTGGGACACTTGAAAAACCGAACGACTGAAACCGAATTCTCCAGCTGCCGCAATCCTGGAGCACTGCATGGCGCAACATGCATTCCGAAAAGGTCGTACCACAGTGGGACGTATGGACCAAGTGATTGAAATTTAGGGTATGGGGTTTAGGGTCAAGGGTTATCTTGGTCCGGCGAAACAACCATTGCATGATCACATGGGTTTTCGAGGGACTAAACTGGAACTGGTGGCTACTCGCTCAGGCACGGGAAAAGCTTCAAAGAATTCACTTCCTTCACCTTCGGCTTCTTAAGAAGCATGTGTGATCCACACGCCCAGCGCCCGATACACCTTTGGCCGAAACCCCCTAAACCCTAAACCCTAAACCCGAAACCCTAAACCTTACACCCTAAACCCTACACCCTAAACCCGAAACCCTAGACCCAAAACCCGAAACCTTGCCGCAATCCCGCGGTGCGTCTTCGGCCTTCGTCCCGGGTCGGGGGCTGTCTCCTTTGCCGACACGCCTTGGCAGTTGGGGATTTGCGAAAATAGCGGACCCCCCCCCGCCCCCCCGCCCCCCCCCCCAAAAGATCCCCAAATTGTAGGATCCCCTTTTCGGTTTAGGGTTTGGGTTTAGGGTTTATAGTGTTTAGGGGTTTGGGGGTTTCCACTGAGATACCCTCATTTCGGAAACCCCCATTGAAAACTGTAGGAGAGTGTAGATTTGGTCCGATGTGGAGGTGCAAGACTGGATCTGCATGGGATGCAAGGCATCACCGTTGCAAGGAAACTCACGAGCCGGCCTAACAACGTTTCGTTCTAGAAACCCTAAACCCCAAACCCTAAACCCTATAGACTTCCGGATCTCTTTCAATGAGACAAGCTCCTTTAGTGAAAGGTTTTGTGGGTTTGACGCCTCGCTCCTGAAGATCTCCCCCGCGAGAACCGGAGAAGGCGAAAAGCACGACTGGCTGAAAGGCCGGGGTTGGGGCTTCAGGGTTTCAGGGTTTAGGGCTTAGGGTTTAGCATTTGGGATCCTAAACCCTAAGCCCTAGGCTCTATATCCTCGATATGGTCGTTTAGGATTGGGTGGTGTAAGGCAACGCCGAAATCTCCACCTCACATTTCCCTAGGGTAGTCCTTAATAATTAGGGATTATAGTTGGGGGTACCAGAATCCCTATTAAGGACTGTTAGTATAAGAGGGAACATCCCAAGGTTTAGGTGTAAGGGCTGCCCCAGTGGACTCTCAGCGGACAACTCAGCAGACGGCACGTCTGCATACTTCAGCCCGTCGGGCAGCTCCGTCATTTTGAGGTTGTCCTGCGCCACAGCTCCAAAGAAGCGATGCGATATTTGCCAGACCAGGAAGCACCCCGTACAAAGCAATGTGCAACCCTAAACCCTCAACCCTCAACCCTAAACCCTAAAATTGAAAAACCACCCCAAGTAAGCGGCAGATCCAAAACCTGAAGCCCTCAATCTTTCGAAAAGACCCCCTCCCCAAACCCAACAAACCCTAGAACCTTATAAAGCCTAAACCCTATGAGCCCTAAACCCTATAAACCCTAAACCCTACGAGCCCTAAACCCTAAACCCTGTAAACCCTAATAGTCGGACCACATCTCTTAGAAGCCCTAAACCCAGTGGTCTCCGGCTTCGAGTTTCGTGCGGCAGCTTGCGGAAGGAAGGGCAGGGTTCAGGTTCAGGGTTCAGGGTTCAGGGTTCAGGGTTCAGGGTTCAGGGTTCAGGGTTCAGGGTTTAGGTTTTAGGGTTTAGGGTTTAAGGTTTAGGGTTTAGGGTTTAAGGTTTAGGTTTGGGGGTTGCCATGCTCAGCCGCTTTGAAGGGCACTGGAGTCAAAAGGAACGGCGTAGGGTTAGGGTTTCGGGCTTCCTTGCTATAAACCCGAAGGGCATCAGTGAACCCTAAACCCTAAACCCTAAACCCTAAACCCTAGACCCTAAACCCTAAACCCTAAACCCTAAACCCTAAAACCTAAACCCTAAACCCTAAACCCTAAACTAACCCTAAACCCTAAACCCTAAAAGGCCCTAAACCCTAAACCCTAAACCCTAAACCCTAAAAAGTCCGCAGCTTCCGCCACGATATGGAGCGACCTCGTAGCGAACGACATCGCGGCCCGGATCCACAGGGGCTGCCGTTGCTTCTGCAGAAGACTGCCTCAGAAAAGGCAAGGGTTTAGGGTTTAGGGTTTAGGGTTTAGGGTTTAGGGTTTAGGGTCTAGGGTCTAGGGTCTAGGGTCTAGGGTCTAGGGTCTAGGGTCTAGGGTCTAGGGTCTAGGGTCTAGGGTTTGGGGCTTAGGCTTTCGGGGCTTAGGGTTTAAGGCGTAGGGTTTCAATTCGGGATCAGGGTCTAATTTAGGGCTTAGGCTTCTGGAGAAACTGCCTCAGAGAAGACAAGCTTAGGGCCCGGGTCTTGGGGCTTGGGGTGCAGGGAGGCTGCACGCGAGACACGAGGTCGCATGGTAGTTTCCGAACATC